TAGCTTTTATTTACATGCCACAAACGCTGTTTTCAGGGGCGTATACAATTTTGCCCCTAGGTGTGGATAAAGAGGCGTATTGTTATTACAGTGACTTCAAAAGTAGTTCAGTGATATTATCTTCCAGGGACAATTCGCTGCAACAGGCTCGTGCGCTGCACACACTGCAATGGTTTCATAAGGAAATTTCTCGGCCTGATTACACGCGCCATAAGTCACCGCAATTGAAATAAAATGGGGAATTTTAAATCAAAACACACGCAACAGAATCATCCTGTTTTACCAAATAGTTAATACTTTATAAAGATGCACTGATGGTGATGTGGATGATAATTTGCGATAAACATTTCTGTATTTCTAAAAATCTAACTTTAAAGCATTGGTAAACAAGTAACTGAATCATTTAATTGCAAAGAATGCATTGTAAGAGCCACTGCATTGTCAAGAGTCTCTGCTCAAAAGGAGGTTGTAACAGCGCCCGGGACGGATACGGGAGCAGGTTGGCATTTCAACCATGGCACGTCTACACTCACTGGACTGGCATCCAGACGTGGGACAGCCGATATCCTATTATGTAAGCGGCAGATAAAAAAATCAATCACCTAACGTCCGTGGGTTACGGTTACTGAAACGCCACTGCCACTGGATCCGTCTGCACATATTTTTTTTCTCTCTCTCTCTCCCGTCTTTTTTGTTTGCCCCCTTTTTTTTTGCACGTGCGCGCGTGTGTGCGCGTGCTCGGTGTGCACGCGTGTGTGTATTTGTACGGGTTTGCACGACAACAACAAAAGGTAAAAGTGCACTCCTAGAATGCAGTCGCTCGCTTACGCCAATGATGGCCCGAAGGTACTCCACAACTCCAACAGAGGGCCCCTCTCGAGAGAGAGTATGTTGGCTTGCTCTTCCACACTGGCCACACATCTTGGAAGCGGTGGGAGCGGCCACACTTTACTCCACAGATCGACTAATTTTAGCGTGCCCACGAATACCACTGGGTGGATAGCAGCAGGACATTCACCGAATCGAACCGTCGGCTTCTGGATCGCAGGTTGCAGCGTGTGCGAAACATTCCACCCGCCGTGGCTGTCACACGTTACCGATCCTGCGTTTCAATTCCTATGATGATACGCGACTGTGGAACATCACAGCCAAGGGTGGGTCCGCGGGTTTGTTTTATTAGATTGGCGGTGGACAAGAGCCCTCCGAGGGCGAGGTTTTCGAAACGCTCGATTGCGCGCCCGCGCGTGGCACAAACGGACAAATCGAATTACCGGACCACAGTGGTCCTCCCCACAGTTCTCCGCTGCCCGTGGTGGTTGAATGAAAGCGCCCATTTTAGGCGTCACTCAAAAACAAAGGGCTGCTTGAGCGATTTTTTTTGGCCCGCGGAAGAGACATCCTGTACCCGGTAGCCGTGCCCCGTAATCTTCGTGCCCCAAGACCATGGTGAGCGGGGGGGGGAAACCTAGAAATGGGAACATTATTAACCTGCTCTTTTTGTATTTTCACTTGAGTATCTCTGTGCTGATGTAAGACGATAGCTTCTTAAGTGATTGTGTGGTCCAGCTTAGCGTGGAGCTAAAAACAAATTCTTTAACCGTGCGTGTGGACGCTGTTGTGGTTAGCGGCACACTTAACTTGCAATCTAGAGATCGCAGGTTAAATTATCTCCTGGCGTGGTAGTTGAAACTGTTATGCAAGCTTCTTATCTGCCTCCTCCCACCGCCTCTGCCAACCCAGTGATATCAATGGGTTCACCGCGTTGATATCGATCAGCAGGCCGTGTGCGGTGGGGTAAAGTGTGGGTTGCTGCCATCTCTTCGAAGACGCCTGGCCAGCGTAGACGAGAAGGCCAAAAAGCTAAATGCAGAAAATAGCCTCGAGTGGGATTCTCTTGGAGGAGCTCCTTCTCGTGGAGGCCTTTCTGCCAGCAAGCAGCATATCCAAGGAACTTCAGGGCTATCCCTTTACCTGTGTAACGGTGAGCCCTGCGTGCATGTCTGGGGGGGGTGGGAAGGTACTGCTTACTTGCCCTTAGCTCCTCCTCCTCCTCCAGCCGTCCCGTTGTGTTAACATCGACGCGTTTTGCTGCGGAGGAATTCCCAAGGTGGTGAACACTTAAAAAAAAATCCATCTGTTGTTTTTGCACATTTTACGGATTTGCACCCAGCGGACTACATTTCCGAAAGCAGTCGATTATGTAGCAATAGTTTTTTTTTCTTAAATGTCCCACGAATAACAAACCACCGCTCCACCACCACCACCACCACCATCCCGTCCCTATCAAAACGGCGTTTACGACGGATTAACTTTTCTCGCAGATGCTCGTGCATTGTCGGGAGAACATTTTCTATGGGGAGTACAAAAGGTCATTCGCTCGTTCGGAAAAGGACCGATGGGTTTGTGATGGGGGGGGGGGGCGGGGTTTTTTTCTTCTTCACACTCCCCCTCGTTTGTCCCCCCCTCCCCCACCAGGGGAACCTTTCTCATCGTCGCCCCATTGTGCCGCCAAGCGGCCTGCGTGAGGGGCGCACAATGAACGCGTCTCTGTTACGTCTAACATTTCCACGAATAACAATGGGCACCATTAAGCATTATTTGCAAGTAATTTAGGGAATGCGGTTTTTTTTTTACGTGTATGCATAACAGGAATTTAATTTACGAACGGTAGGTTTTTTTTTTTTCCCGAGTCAACAGTCCAAGTGATTTTAACAAGTTTGCCTTTCGCCGACGGAATATCCACAGTAAGGTGTTTTTTTGTTTGTTTGGGTTAGATCGCGTTAATATATAATGTGTCGTTGAATGCGCCACCACCCGACGCAGCCAATTAGTAAGCTTTGTCACGTAAACAAAACGTGCCAATTCGTTACTACTTCTGCAAACCGGTGTGTTGGTGAGTAAAGCCCACAACGAAGTGATTTCCTGGCTCAAATCGAGCACCAAGGCCTAGTCTTTGGGTCTTTCGGTAAAATCACGTAGAACAAAAAATTAACAAAAACTACGACGTTTCGATCGCAACACGAGCAATCGTCATTGCAATCGTCACTGCTTGTGTTGCGATCGAAACGTCGTAGTTTTTGTTAATTTTTTTGTTGTTCTGCGTGACTTTACCGAAAGGCCAAAAGGATATGAATTCCTGCAGTCACGAAAGCTTTAAGTCAACACCAAGGCATAGGTGCTCATCTTCTGTGTGCAGCCCTGACCCAGTAGCAGACAGTTCCACGTTTCCTACGGCAGGGCCGAGACAACCGCACCTCCGATTAGCACGATTGGCCACGTAAATACACACAACCGATGTTTCTTTTGTCATTTTCCCAAGCATGAGAGGCATTGAAAGAGTCGAGAATTTAGATTGTAGATACTTATGATCTTACAGTGTTGGTGTGCTCCCCTTCTAATAGCGTGGGCTTTCACGTGGATTTTCCTGAGCTGGGAACTTTACCAGCCATGAGGCTCAGAGCTAGAGCGAGGAGCTCGCAATCGCAAAGTTGAGAGTTCAAGTGCAGGTGAAGTGTGTGTACTGACCACAACTCTACAGTGGCCTTTTGATAAGAGAGATTTGCGCCAGCCATAGGAATGTGGAATGTTTCAAAACTTGCTATACAGGGCTGTATACAGGAGATTTGCAACGGTGCTTCGATGCTCATTTGAGCCGGTAATTCACTTGTTTGTCCTGATAAAGTCTCATTGGACATCTGTGGAAAAGAGATTCACAGCTCATCGGATTTCTCCACGATAAATAAAGATTCTGATTCATTAGCAGGGGAGATAATGGAACACAGGGGACAGGCTTTGAATTACGTTTCGTAAATTAACGAGCCTTCATTAGTTACCCTTGGCTACACTGCGTGGATCCTCCAGGTTAGTTGCCTCACTAACTTGAAAATAATTTGCAGGTGGCCGGGTAGCTCAGAGCTCTGAGCAATGAGCTGGCATCGCTAAGATCCCGAGATAGAAGTCTGGGTTTTAGTCGCCCACGATGAAACAAGGTGATCAAGAATAGTGAGCTGATGGTCTCAGCACAGTCACTAATGACTGAACAAAAACCCATCGTATTAATTGGCTTTCCCAATCAGCTCTACTTAATTTGGGGAAACCACGTGGCTGCAGCATCTCCTACCAGCAGGCAATACCCGTCTGTGAAACGTATAGCGCCTTCGTGATAGCCTTCCATTACCGTGCAACAAACGTTTATCTAATGCAGAGTGTGTGGGGAACGTGTACATCTTTGCATTTAAAAAATAAAAAAGGTCACTAACGCATTTCAGAAGCAGTTCTGTGAAATCCACTTGCAGGGGCTCTGCGTGACGCGTTCTGAACGTCCACTTCGTCTCACGATACGATACCGGTAGGACAGTTGGAACAAAAATTTACGGGTAAAAATTAATACGTAAAAAAAACATTACCTCTAAATTCTGCCATGGTTTAGCGGCCGTACTGCTGTGAAGCTTTCCGATGCGTTTTCGGGCTGTACCGCGTGTGTCGTTCGGCGCGATGTCCGACGTTTCGCGGGACACATGCTGGGAGCTTCTGTTCGCGCTCATTGATGCTCCCAGCACACGCTGCACCATCATGCTAGACGACGCACGGAACAGCCTGAAAAAACAACGTGTGGCACAACATTGCCTGGTAATGCTGCCGCTGTTGCATTGGTAGTGGTCCACCAGCACAAATAACAAAAACTCTAAACGTTCCTTGTCAATAACAACAACTGTGTGGCCTTGTATGTTGAACTTCTTTCGCACCGTACATAGCCAACCGTGCTCATCGGAGGTGCATGGGGAAGGACAACAAACTAAACACAAAAAGCAGTTCTAAAGAAATGAGTTTTCAATCCAGATTTAAAAGCGCATGGCTCCCATTGGCTTCCTCACGTCGGAAGGAAGAGGGTGCCGTCAGCAATGTTTCGGGCAAAGTCTGCTCTTCGCAGCACACGGAGAGAGGCCAGCGGGGAAAGAGTGACATCAGAGAGCCCAGACCGTGCCGTGTTTTCCCACCAGGCTCGCCGAACGTGTGCTACGCGTACGCCGGCGACGGGCTGTGCGAAGAATTCGAGAAGGAGGGCAGCGGGCTGGACTGTGGGATATTCACGCCTCCGGGTCACGCGGATCAGTGGGTGTCCCAGGCCACGGCCTCCCACCAGGACAGCCTCCACTGCCCGGCCAGTGTCCTCGTGGGCCCTCCGGCCCTGTCGAAGGTAAGCGGTCGTCTTTTGCTTCGGGCAGTGACGGTAACCCAGTAGGGCAGCGGTCCTCATATTCTTTGGGTCCTTCGGTAAAGTCACGTAGATAGGTTCAACGAAAATAAGAAAAAAATCCGACGTTTCGATCGTAACACAAGCGGTCCATGCGCTGCGAAACGTCGTAGGTTTTTGTTATTTTCTTTGAACCTATCTACGTGACTTTACCGAAAGACCCAAAGAATATGAATTCCTGCAGCCACGAAAGCTTTAAGTCAAGGGCAGTGGTCTTCACGAATTTTCACGGTGGGGGGGGGGGGGGGGGCGGAGAGGGGGGAAAGTGGGGGTGCACTTTCGCCGATAAGACTTCAGTGCGAGGATCGCCACACTGCCTGCAAGACAAAATCATTCGCGTGTTTTGTATTATTGTAGGGGACCAAACGTCAGGGGTAGCACTGAAGGCCAACAGAGACCGCCAGTGGCCCACGGGCCTTGCAATGAAGAACGCTGCGATGAGGTTTTGCTTTGTGAGTGAATGAGTTGGTGAGGTGGCCGCATATACTCTGGCTGTTGAAGCACAGCATCTACACACACACATGGCAGTAGGCACAGTTTCTATTTCCGAAGGTTGGCATTCCACCCCTCTCCCTGCCAGGTATACCTTCACGCCCACAACAGCATAGACACGCCTCGAGCAACGGCAGCAGATTAAATACGTAATTTTTTTTTATTTATCCACTCAATTGTCTGTTCAGACGCAAGTTCTGCATGTGCAGCAGGCAACCGAGGCTTGGGAAGTAGGGGAGTTGAGAGTGAGTGGCTGGGTGTTTTCACGACACGCACTCATCCAGATTAGTGGGCAAAACAAAAAACGATTGACGCACAAAGTGATATAATTGCGGCCTGCCCATTGGCTGAAGGGCAGAGAGCTGCACGTGCACTTGACCTGGCCACGCTGCGCCCCTTGAGGGGGCGAATGAGAATTTCCTGAGATGCTTTTTGCAGTCGTGCGTCATAGGATGGCGCGTGTCACTTGCGGCTCGCGTTTTTTTTGTTTTGGGGGTGTGTGGAGGTGGAGGAAGGGAGATGACAAAAACAACACGACCCCAGCGATCGGCTTGGCTTTGAAGGAGCCGGGGCTCGAAGCCACTCGAAATCCCGGTTCTCGTGTGCACGTGACCGTGCCTTGACCCGGTGTGTGCGTGTATATGTGTGGGGAGCGGTAGTGTAGCGGTTAGCACGCTGCGCTACGAACCTGGCGACCCAGGTTCGATTCCCGCTCAAGGCCAACACCAGTGACGATTATCTGAACCGGTCCCGGGCCGCCCCCAGGGCGACTCAGCCTCAAATGAGTACCTGGTGCGGTGTGTAAACATCGCCACTGGGGAGACAAAGGCGGTCGGGCGTGGTGCTGGCCACCCACCCCCTCGTGTACCGTTCCGGCCTTCATAGGTGCTCGCTAACAGCACTTGCCCCTACAATCTGTTAAGGCTATACGGAGGATCTTTGTCTTTGGTGGTGGTGGTGTTTGTGTCGGCGGGCACACAACGGGTCCAATTCGGGTGCTTTCCGTGGGCGATGAGAAAAAAACACAAAGAAAACGCCGTCGCGAGAGGAGAACGCCCGCAGGCCCGGGGTGCGAGTTGATGATTCGAGGGCGGGTGCTCGCAAACAGCGGGGATAAAACGTCACGGATTAAAAAATATATATATTTGGCGATTTTGCGTTTGCAGCGGTGCACAAGCACACGCAACAACAATAACAACAAAAAACAACAAATTCATCGGGTGACATGTTGTACACATAGATGTACCGTGCAGAAGGGCTATTGCCCAAAACGCCACCTTAAGTGTTTCCTTTTAAAGCCACTGCTGTTGATAAACGCGTTGAGTTTTTGGTGATCTACGTTGAGGCAAACGCCGGGAAGGGGCACGTGGGGGCCTTCCAGGTGCGCCGGATTGTTGTTGTTGTTGTTGTTTTATGTTGTTGTCGCGCCCTTTAAGTCTGATTTCTCGTCGGTCGGAACGAGCGGCAACGCTACGTTTCATCGTTCCCCCCGGCTCGGCCCGGCTTTCCCCAGCCGAGGGCTAAGAAAAAGAAGGAGCAGGCCAAGTCAATTAACTAAAACGGTCACCACGGAGCCCATAAATCTACGAGGGGGGGGGGGCGGGTGGAGTGGGGGGGGGATTGCGCCCCAGTCCTCGACCCGGCTTTGGGAAGCAAGGGAAGTGCTCAGTGCGAGACCAAGGAACAAAGATCTCTGCTTGCAGTGCAGGGCTGGCGTACGGAAGGGCGAGACGGTGGAGGTTTGGGGTGGGGGGTGATGTGGAGGTAAAGGGGCAGTCCTGAAATTGCTCCACTCAGGCCACCGCTGAACAAAGGGTCTCCTCTCGAGGGAGTTCTCAGAGAGAGATTTCTACTCCTCTGCCAGATTGGCTATCTGCATCTTGAAAGAGATATGTTAATAATAATAATAATGTTTTTTTATACAAATATAGTACGACAAAATAGTACGAAAAAAGAGCAATCATGTGGAAAGAAAATCATGAAGCATGAGACATTTGAATGGTACATCCGTTGACATCACTTCGGTAATAATTAATCACTTCACGTTGAGCCTGCACTCGTAAAGCAATGAGAATCGAAGAATATATTTTTTTACGTTGAAATTGCTTTCTTAAACCGCTGCCGGAAAAAAACATAAACGTCCTCCACTAGTCGGACAATTTCTACAGAGCCCCTTCAGAGGGTATGTGGGCCAACTCTTCCACGTTGGCCAGACATTTTGGAAGAGGTGGGAGTAACCCGCACGCAACCTGCCGATCGACTAACTACGGCAGAACCCATTTATTCCGCTGCTGCTGTTGGGTGAACAGAGGCGGCTGCGAGGGCTTTGTGGGATTTAAGAAATCTTTCCCAATTGCCTCGCAGGACGGAGCTCACGCATCGGCACCGACAACCTCCGTTGGAAAGTATCAGATTTCCGCACCCCTGATTAGCGCGGTTGGCTACGCACGGTGCGAACGGAGTTCAACTTACGTTGTTTTGTACACGGGCTTTCAAGAGACACTTAAAAGGCTTCAGCTCTTTCTTAAAGGCTTACCCTCTTTCGCCTGGCTTTCAAGTAACACTGAGCTTGGCTCCGTGCGTCTTGAGTCACGGTTAATTTATGATGTGTGTAAAATATTGTTTGCGTTACAAATCGCACTCAGTTTTATTATTCATCCACTAGTAGATTAACCATGTCTCGTAAATAAAAAAGATCTATGACACACAAAGGTCATCTACAGATTTCCTCGCTATCTAACAACCGCTCCGATTAGCACCTCCGATTAGCACGGTTGGCTACGTATGGTGCAAAAGAAGTTCAACATACAATATATTTCACACTTGGTTTTACCTTTGCTATTCAGGCACTGCTGGTGGGAGAGAGAAACCTCCCCCCCCCGCCACCACCACCATAGGTTAAATGCGAAAAGCAAAGCTTCCTATTGATTTACTCTGCATTTGTGCAAAGCATTCCGTGTGGGCAAATTCTCCCTACCCCACCCCCCATCCACAACCTCCAGTGACCTTTAACACATTAATCAGAGGTCCTCTACTGGGCACTGGCCCCAACGCAGTTAATCCCAAGCCCGCTAAACCGTCGCCCCTTTTCCATAGAGGAGTCAGCCTGGGTGGCTTGGCCGCCTCTTTGCTTCCTGGGTGGCATTGCCCGTGGCTGATTCGGCCATCCTCTCTCCCCGTCGTCGTCAGGGCCACGCTACACAGCATTGCGACGTGGTTGTTGTTGCTGCCCGGTGCAGCGTGTGAGTGTGCGTGCGTGGCGGGTAGCGCCGCTGCCGGCGACCCAGGTTCGATTCCCGCTCAGGGCTAACACCAGTGACGATTATCTGAACCGGTCCCGGGCCGCCCCCCAGGGCGACTCAGCAATCAAATGAGTACCTGGTGCAGTGTGTAATCATCGTCACTGGGGAGACAAAGGCGGTCGGGCGTGATGCTGGCCACCCACCCCCTTGTGTGATGTTCCTGCCTTCATAGATGCTCACTGACAGCACTTGCCCCAACCGTTTGTTAAGGCTATATGGGGATGAGAATAGGTTTTTTTTTCTGGCAGATGTTAAAACACCAAACTGAAACCTGTTGCAAGGAATCATGTCTGCATTAACCACAATACTTGTGGTCAGAATGCAAACAGAAAAAAGGGGAAAAGCTATTCTCATATTTTGGTACTGGCAAAGGAGGTCACATGATGTAGCTATACGGAGATATTTGTTGTGTGTGTCAGTGGGGAACGGTAGTTTACGTGACAAACCTTACTAATTGGCTGTATCGGGTGGTGGCGGGTTTAACGACACATTGACACGTACGCAATCTAACCCCAAAAAAACCTCTATTAAGGATACTATTGGGATGATCGATGACAACTTTTTGTTAGGTATTAAATGGTTTTGTGTAGCACAAAATAGCAGTTTATTTACTTATTCGGTCAGTAATGCAAATGATATGTAACTGTACACAAGCGTTGAATTTAGATCAATGGAATGCACACAGCTGTACGTGCGAGACAGATAACAAACAGCCGAGGCATATTACGCAGTGAAATAGACGTTAAAATTAGCCAAATGAATAATCAGGCTATTGAACTGGATCGTGGCATTTCTTCAATATTGCTGGGGTGTGAATTGGCAACATAATTCATATATTTACACGTACGTGATGCTCAGTGAAACACCACTGACATTCACATGATATGTCCGCTCGTCGCACAGCAATGCATTTAAAGACACATTCCCTTTAGCCGGGTTACACATTGGAGGCACGGGGCTTTAAAGTCATCCACAGACAACTTGCCCTTTCACCAACGAGTACTCGTGAAACTCACAGCCCCCAGCCGTTTGGCGATGAAAGACCACTCCTAACTACTGCTGCTGCTATTACGGAGGCAACGTTTTACAACGGTCTGAGTCAAGAGGGCCCACCGTGATCTGAAATCCCACCGGCGGTTACATCACTGC